GCAATTTGTTAGTATTTTAGTTACATATCTGAGATCCTTTGCTTTAATGCTCGGCCTGTGTACCTATCTGCACCAGATGGCAGGATCTCTTTCAACCCGTATTTTCCTATAATGCAAAACAAAAACATGAATTAGCCTAGCCCAATATTTGAATAGTGTACATAACAATTTTAACTATCACACATAACAATTTAAATAGTATCAATATAAAGATCAATTAAACAATTATTGAATACAAATGAATAGTAAATGTTGCTGATATACATATACCTAATTATTTTAATATCAATTTAATATAGAATTGGAATTATCATATTTTGTTGATGTAATGTGTAATAAAGGACGCTGTGTTGGTGATAAACACCCGTAAGACAATGTGTTTCTGGTATCGATAGCAAGATGTAAAAAATATCCAGGTGCACTGCGGCAAGCTCATCTGAGTATACGTTCATACGTACGTTGGTTGATGGACGGTTGTTAGGTGTAGGCTTGTCCATGGTTTCCCGTACCATAAGGTCAATGAACTGTCGATGAATTTGGGTAATGACCAAAACAAGAGAACGCTACTAGGCATAAAAAGATGATAGATATGGTAACCAGGCCAGCACTGACGCCCTACCTTAAACGCTAGTAAATGGCATTAAATGGATTACACTGAATGCTTAAAAATTTTACAAGGTCAGACAAAAACAACTATATATTCATTTACCGTTGTAGTCAATCTCCAACAAATCACCTGAATTACGACAAAATCAGTAACAGTATGGCAACGTAAAATAAGTCAAATGACAACACTGGCACAAGCGTCATTGTTATCTGCATCACAACCGTCAACGCAGTGATTCAGTGCAATCCACGTAACTGACGACGTCATATACACATTAGGAGAATCGGCGGTCTAATAAGGCTAAATAATGCTAGGATTCGTGAAGCTTGGTGGAACTATTAAAGGTCTATATTTTAAAATACTAATACGGTCTAATTAACAATAATTTCAAATATAGTCATTGCACAAAATGGAAACATTGAAGCCAAACCTTATGAAACGCAGAAAACTGCCACTGCGGGTTATCGTGTAATTGTTCGTAATTAACCCTTTAAACCCCAAAGTGTTGTCGCCTATCACATATACTGTTCATTGTAAAAAAAAATGAAAAATACATTCAAAAGTGCAACGATTTTGGTGGGGAAATTATGACGTTCAACAAATGACAAGCAGACCATGATTCTCGGCGGATGTTGTCGTGTATTATGTGTAAAATATATTTGTCAAATTTGTGTTTCATCTATAAAACTTGTTACTCGGCGCAGTAAGGAGATATTATCTGACAACAGTTTTAGGGAGGTTATGTTCAGTCATAGTGACTAACTGTACTTTTCACGCTCTTCCAATTTTCAGCAGTACACTAGGTCGATTGTATTGGTTTTCAATAGCATGATTGTAAATTAATGCATACTTCTAAAAACGAGTCTCTATGTATGACGTTATTTCTTTTGTTATAGTTGCAGTGCGCTGAACATGTCAGTATTTTGTATGTCTCAGTAGTCAATATACCGATGAATACATTATCGATTCTCTAAAAATTTAGAATAACTATCCAGCCTGGAATGACGTCATCACTAAAATCTGTAGAATAGTTTTTACGAACAAAGCTATACTTCCTATTATGTCTTTACGCGAACACTTAAAAAGGCTGAGGGTACTATTTCTACCGATTCAAACCGATGAGGGCGTTATTTATCCCAACCGACGCCATTCGGGAGTCGTAATCATAAAACACAATTGTAAAATACCATAAACTATCCAATAATGATAAACATATTACGACACGTGCTCAAATCATATAATAAATGTACCTCATAATATGTTCGTAACTAGAATTAAGAAGGAGCCACACCATTATACCTCATGAGGGAGGGGCACAGGCGTGATTCCATGTTGACGAAATGGCTAGTGGTGTTGGACCCGATAATGTAATACATTCCTGATGATGTATCTTTACCAATACTATAATGCGAATTAGCCGATATTGTAATAGAAACCGATAATGTAACAACACGCAACCAATAGTGTAACAAAAACGATAATGCAATAGATTTTTTAACCGATAATGTATTACAAAGTAACTGATAACGTAACAAGATGACTAACGATAATGTAAGAATATGTAGAGCTGCTAGCTATTTTTCGCATTTTCTAGAACGATATGGAATATACTGTATACTATATTATCCCATCAAACAAAAGATATTTGTTTTTTAGTTGCAATTTAATTAAAAAGAGTACTGATATTCTCCTATACTTTAGAGGACACGTCCAGCTTGCTAATATTGACTTCATATCTTCACCAAGTTTGAAGATTGGTTGGGGTTGCCTTTAGGCGGTAGTTATCCGATACGCATGTTGAAATAGGCAGTGGAACAGAGGCTAAGTTGTACGTTGCTAAACTTGGAACATTTTACCCGAAAAGGCCCGAATTATTCATATTTATATATTTTAACACCCAACATGGATGATACCAATCCAAAATGCGTATAACATTGACTCGTTTAAAAACAGAATGTCCTTGTCCATATCTGTTAGTTGTTGTAACATTATTGTTGGTTTTTTTTTTTATTATCGGTTAAATCATGTTACATTATCGGATAATGATACATTATCGGTAATTAATACATTATCGGGACCAACAAGCAGCACTATTATCATTTGTTTCCACGGCTATCACATGTTTTAGCAAATGATAAATCAACAATGATATACAATAACTCCCAAACTATATATGCCGAATTTTCAAGTAAGTTCTTGAATTAATCTATATTTACTACAACCACACTAACAAAAGACACAATTATGTGTCGACAAATGGCAATTCGGCCAAAAACCCAAGCCGAAAAGTCGCGACGAGAATAACGAGATAGTTATTTATTGAATATTATTTATCACTTTTTTAGTCTATTCTTAGACGACATTCGTTCTCTTCTAAATACTGTTATGTTATATAATGTAAAATGTGCAAGTGTGTGTAATAGAGATGTATATATTCTCGTATACAGCATATCCAACTATAACTATGAATGACAATTGTACTTGATCAGACAAAGTTATTTGATTCAGGGTTATTGGGGAACCAGAGTTGTAATTTCTCATTACAGGGTATGACATGGTGAAAGTGTACAAATCCTTTGCAATCTGCGCAGTTGCTGAGTTTATGTGTCTTGTTAGCTTGTGTATATATCTGGTAGCGTCGCTTATGTGTGTCCTTCGAATACGAACACAAACCTTACACAAAACGTAAATTGCAATTGACCTCACTGTTGTTGAATGCGTACACAATATGCAAATAACCTTTAACGAGATTATATCTCATGAATATTATTTGAAAGTGCAACAAATAATAGAAAGCATTTATTATGAAACGACGGAATCACGCATATTCGGTCTTAACCCCACTCTGACTATTGTGGTAATTTGAAGACCCTACACGCATTCTATCATGCTAAACTGGTCACCAAATTTAACAAGTGTTTCTGGCTTTTACACTGTATGTCTGCATAGCGTGGACACGCCTAAAGAGGTTTGAATTGTGTAAAGCGTCGACGACCAGTGGTTGTTCCCGGCTCCAAACGTCCAGATTATAAATGTTCTCGATAACTAATTACATACAATTAAGGAGTGAGGCGCGAGTCTTAGATTTAACTTATATAGTTATAGTTAAATTAATCGAATATCATTCTATGCCAAATGGTTTCAACAGTGTCTCAATAACACACTTATAAAAACTATTTTCCTGTGAATAAAGACCTATTTTGTCAAAATTGATAATTTTACCATTTCTGGGGATATTGAATAATATGCAATTCAACCATTGCAATATAAATAGCTATTTGTGTCATTTTATGCAAATTAAATATTTTGCATAACTGTATACAGGGAGTTATACACATTTTGCACGAGCTTTATGTTATCATATCAGTTGAATATCAGGCATTGATTTAAAGATTGACATAAAATAACATTTGACCTTTTTGTTAATTCAGCACATAGACACACCTACCGTTCTGCTCAGTATGGATTTTATGAGTTTGTTTAATGTTACTATCTGCAATAAATATTTGCTTTGCGTACCTCGTTCACACAACATTTTATTGGAGCCAAACAGATCGAGCAGAGTTCCCCTCTAATAAACCCCTTGGCGGAACACCGGTTGAAATGAGCTGCGACATGGCCCGATTGTCTAAACAAGAACCCCCAATCGCGAGCGCTATTCCAGCTTGGGTCTCCAGCGAGCCAGGCCATACTTTGGACCGTGTTGGCCACAGCCGTATACACGCACAAATAATAATATCCCGTTTATCGATACGATACGATAAATGCTGCAGTGCAAACCTAGACATTTTTTTCAATATAAACCGACTGTTTTGTTTTGAGAGTTGAATATTGGACAGTATAATGAAACCTCGGCGTTTTGAGAATAACTGGGTAAGTGATTACATTTAAATGTATACTTGTTGATCATGTGTTTTGTGCATGTCTAGAGTGGGATTCATTGTGGTAATCTCAGTTTTATATGTGCGGATGTAGTAGAATTTTGTGTTTTATAACATAGTAAATATGCTGTATATTTTAGTATACTGGGTATGCAAATACGCGTTTTCGTCTTACTGTTAACGTTGAGATGGTGATTAGATAGTTTATATTTTACAATGAAAGTTACCATGATTCATATATGTTAGTGTAGTCTTTAAATGCATAATGATATAGTTTATTCGATACAATCAGTATTCATTTGATCACTAGTTTCTAGCCCTCTAGTACCTCAATATATATATATTTGTGAAAACAAATATTTGTAACATTATTACGGATTGACACCTGTCCACGATTCGTATTTCAGTTTACCAGTCTTATATATGCTAGACATGCTCTTTGCTTCTGGCTATTTTTTGGTATGGTCAATTTACATACATTGCGCATCAACCTCAGCGTAGCTATTATTGCCATGGTAAACAATACCGGAGATGAACCGCCGTCATCTCTAGATGAGTGTGGGTTGAACGCCTCCGATGTCGAGAATACAGAGGTGAGTCGTCAACACAACTGCCCACACGTGATCGCCAAGTAACTAAATAAACATAGTGGGTCGAGGTACACATACTACAAAGTCCATGAACTACATTATTGTACCGAGACAAAAATGACAGACTTGTATTTTGTTTAAATGAGATGCCATAATAATCAAACCTCAGATTTGTAGTGGAACATAGCAAAAACTAAATCCATTGAAATCAAGTACTGGCGCAATTAGTTAGTTATATAACCCCTCTTATTTTTGATAGTTACATTGTAATTAAATTGACTGAGATTCGTCGCTAGAGGACGCTTGTTATAGAGAACCTGTTTTCAACGACTGTTCACATATGTTTTTCGTTTTGCCGTTAACAGTACGGTGATTTTTATTGGAGCAGCTATGAACAAGGCATTCTACTAGGTGCATACTTTTATGGCTACGTTTGGACTGGAATACTCGGTGGATGGATGGAAAGAAAATTCGGAGGCTATAAAGTTTATGGAACAAGTTTCTTACTCGCCTCCGTCGTCACGATGCTTACCCCGGCCTCGGCATGGTGGGGGTTCTGGGCATGTTTTGCTATGAGGTTTCTATTGGGCTTTTTTCAGGCATGTATTCATTGATTTACAACAATTTATTACAAATGAGTTTGAAATACATTTTATAGTGACTAATAAATAGTTATCCGATGTTTTGTCCTTAGATATTCATTAGGCTAAGCGATAGCATCGTAATCGCCCATAAGCTTATTGCTTTTGCTTTCACTATCCACTATTGGCGAATTTGATCATAGTAAAATGATATGTAGTGTAATTGAATATATTGTAAATTTTCGAGTCATAAATATGCCTAAAATGTAGTTTTTAAATCACTATTTTGTGGAAAATACCTTGCTTTCATAGTTGTCATGTCGTGCCTTTGGTGAACCCCTGTCTGATTTGCTAATTTAGTGACGATCTCACTAATTCTCCACTTTGAACAATTATTTTTTGTATTTTTGGCGAAAATATATTGCTTTACTACATAGATATATACTATATAGATTTTGTTTATATATGAAGTTTGCATTGCTAATAATATGTTCATTTTATTATATGTTTATTTTCCGACAGGTTTCTATTTAGAGAGAACGCAATGCTGTCATTGAGTTACATGCATTATTCATAAAATTTCCAGATATTCCAAACTGGCCCAGAATTATTTCGAAGGGGTTGATGGGATAAAAACAACATGTCTCTATGCTAACGCTCTAACTACACGAAACCAGCTATTTTGGTCGACATAAACATTACTCGCCAATAGTTAAAATTATGATTTTGATACCAATATTAACCAGTTCAAAATGATATATAACCATATATTCTTGGCAAATATAGTTCATGTGTAGAGTACTCACTCATTGTTTGTTGATGTGTATGTCCTTAGCAACCACTGTCTTATTCATAGCAATGTGGGTTCACTTAATCCGATCATTGCTGTTTGCACATATATTTGTCTCATATTTTTATTCTTGACAGGGAGTAGTGTTCCCGTCTCATCATGGAATGTGGGGAAAATGGGCTCCACCACTGGAAAGGAGTAAACTTATTTCATATTCAAGTTCAGGTAAAATGTCAGATTCACCTGTATGTTCAAAACATTCCATGTACCCTTTCCTTCGGCTATGCCATACAAATTCGGGTGTCCAAAATGAAATTCCCGGGATCATAAAACGATACTATTTTTGATGATAATCAAAAGAGATGATAATCGTGAACAAATATAGAAATTTAACACGAAGACGGTTGTGTCATGCATATTCAACATCGCTGGTTCAAAGAAAACGACGCATATCGAATATCTTTGTCTGTTTTATTTATCATTAGAGCCGTCGGTTATGAAGCATACACTTTACTGTATTGATTGCTTCACTATAAGTATTAATATGTGAATGATTAAGGTCAAGTTCATAAAATGTAAACCTGTAGTTTTTAAGTTGATTCACATTAATTTAAATCAAATAACCAATAACCTTTTCCTAGGCACCAATCTTGGAAGTATCATAGCATTTTCTCTGTCTGGACTACTGAGTGTGAACGTCGGATGGGAGTCATGTTTTTATGTATTTGGTAAATATACAATAATTGTATTTGTAAATGTATTTCAGCACGAGAAATGTTGCCCACCAATTGTATATAAGAAGCCATCATAATATATACAATATATATATATATATATATATATATATATATATATATATATATATATATATATATATATATATATGTATATGCTGATAATGTAAATAATACTATAATTGACAATGTATTGTTGCGTCAACAGTGGATGACAACATTATGTTAATATTCTACGAGAAAAAATTGGTTATGACAAACAATAGCCGAAATATATGCAATTTGTGAATGAGTCATGTTCACTGGTCACAAAGTATTCTGCATTAGGTCCTATTAAATCCGCTATTTCCGATGATAAGTAAAATACATTAAAATGAAACCACGTGAACGATTTTAAAGTTTGTAAACGCGAATTTCAAATGTTACAGGATTATTGACTTTGGTATGGCTTGCATTCTGGTACTGGTTAGTATTTGATGCACCTGATGACCACCCTCGTATATCGGAAAACGAAAGAAGATATCTACTTGAGTCTATCGGTGAAAACGTAGTGGACAAGGTAAAACTATATACATATGTATATATAACAGTTTATAATGTATGCATTACATTTCGAATACGTTATTAAATAATGACAATAAAACATGAGTGAAGGAAGTGGGTGTATGCGAGTAAATCACCTCAGGGTTTTCACAGACACGGTCTAGCAGACACTCAGACGCCTACAGCATTGATGGAATAATGTACGATACCATAAGTTTTTACGCAAAACGGTAAGAAAATTTTAGTTCATGCGATGGTTAGGTGTTTTCATACAAAGAATGTACAAGAATGCTGTATTAATTCTTTCACAGGGATGGCATGTTCCGTGGACGTCTGTGTTCTCTTCGTTACAAGTATGGGGACTGACAATTGGACATTTTTGTCAGAATTGGGGTCATTACACATTACTGACTAGCCTGCCCATTTATCTGGATCAAGTTCTCGGCTTTGGCTTGGCGGCGGTGAGCTACATACGTTTACATAAATGCATAATTATTTACTGACAAAATACAAAGACGGATTTGCAGAAAGCTTGACAATATAGTCGGCTGTCAACAGTTAAAATGTTTTACTTCTACTAACTTATAATCACACGCTAGACTCCTTAATGACTGTTTATTGTATGTGTTATGTGAACAACTATACGTAGTACTTCATTTCAATACTCTCTTATTCTTCTCACATTACAGAACGGTTTTATATCATCTCTGACTTCCCTTACGTTGTGGATATTTATGATGTTTTACGGATGGTTAGCTGATGTTGCCAGACAACGACGTATCATGTCTACTATATTAGTTCGTAGATTGCTAGTATCAATGGGTAAACTGCGTTTTTACTACTTACTGAAAGTGATTGTGTACATTGTTAATATGGGATCTGTGCTAATAGAGCCGTAAGACGCTATACGGGATTATATTTATGTTTTATGTCACTTTATGCACATTATGGACCAATAGTTCTTACGAATGCTATATGTAGTTTCAAAGAAAAGCTTTGATTTTTTACTGTAATGGGTAGTTCCTAATTCAATTGTTAAAAAATTCTAATGTTGAAACATCAGTGAATTCCTATTGGTGGTCATTGATCTGATTGGCATTTGGCCGTTGTTTTACCACTCGTATAGCATGATTTTATGTGTTTCGTTTCAACGCACGTATCTGGAATATTTTAGGTATGTTCTTGCCAGCTATTTTTCTGGTTGCGTCGGGCTACATTGGGTGTAACCGAATACTTTCAGTCATGTTAATCGCTATATCCTCCGGATTCAGTGGTTGCAGCACCCCTGGATTCAAAGTAAACCACGTGGAGATTGCCCCAAAATATGGAGGTATATTGTTCGGAATAACCAACACGGCAAGTACAATTGCCGGATTCCTAGCTCCCCTGGTGGTGGGCATTCTGACAGACGATCAGGTACATTTTTTGAATTTATCTATCACATTATATACGTTCTAAGCGATATATTTACCTTCGAGTAATTACGGAAACCAAACAGAATTTGAAAACTTACTCAAGTCATAATTCTATTAGTATGGCCGTAGTTCATATTTGTTAATGTGGTTGGCCCGTACTTACGTCGAATTCCCACGGCACCGTCTCATTATGTAATTGATGGATTACTGAGATACAGGGTTATCAGATAAACCATGGAAGGTACTAACGGAAGGAGCCACGACGATATTGTTTTACCTTTACCCTATGATCCTTTGTCAATGTTTGTTAGCTCTTGGCACCTTCTTACAATGGGTTGCGCTAATCTCGAGCATTCGGTAATATTCGGAGCATGTTCGGTAGTAATATACGAATTGCGCATGCACAAGATTGAAAATGACGTCCAGTTGTAATGTTGAAGATTTAGACGAATTTTAATGAAAAATTGTCAGATATACCATCGATTGAAGAGGAACTGATGAACTATTGTGAATCTTTTTATATTTGTAATGGTGATGAGACGTAATCAATGATTGCCTGTGACAATAACGATTGCATTAATCAATGGTACAATTGTCAGTGCGTGGGTTTGACGGCCAAAACTGTTTGAAATTGTCATGCACCGAGCATCGGCGAACACCACCAGAAAAGACAGTATCGAAAGTACGACATGCCTAGACACTTTCTCTGTGATAATATTTTTTATGAGTTTTTAATTATGTTCTTGTTACAATTGCTAATAATGAAAACATGAAAAATCTGTGAATTTCCGGTTGTGAAATACGTATAACCTTTCACACCTAAACAAACCGAGTGCGCGTGTGTGATGGCCGTAGTTTCATGATGCGCATATATTTTATGGTCATGTTAAAAATCAGCAAGGTTATATCATATTCCACTAACTCGTTACTTGTGTAAGCAATTGCAAACTATCATAGACATCAAAGATGCGCTAGACAATGTCCTTATCAGGATTAACTTGACACAAAAGGAAATAAGCCAAATAAGAGGTTTAAATGGCCACCTGAGAGGCGTCGTGACTCCTTCCGTTAGTACCTTCCATGGATAAACCAATGTGAACTACTCACTGTGTGTTTTCTTTTTCGACAGAATACTATAGAACAATGGAGAATTGTTTTTTGGATAGCTGGTATAATATACTGCATTGGTGGCGTTGTTCTCCTGGCTACCCTCAAGGTTGACGTCCTTGATTGGGCAATCGATCCACTAAGTGTAAAGAAAGAAGATGAGGCAATTCAGGTCGACATGGTAGAGCTTGATTTTAGAACTGGACATTCAAACGAAATTTTTCATGATGAAGATAGAGAAACTATTCCATGCGTGTCTTCAGATTTAGTTATGTAACATTTTCCGGTAGCGCACTTTGAGTGAAAAACATCGATATCGGTATGCTTCGGGATGCATGACCTAACATAATTATAATTTATGTTATGTAAACATTTATTCCATATATCACTGTAGTTCAGTTTAATAAAACAAGGTAAACATAGTTGCTGTTGGACCCGATAATGTAATAAATTCCTGATAATATATCATTAACCGATAATGAAACACGAATTAACCGATATTGCAAAAAAAAACAAAACAATAATGTAACAAAAAGGACAACCGATAATGTAACACAAAATAACTGATAGTGTAATAGATTGTTTTCCAACCGATAATGTAATGGTATGTGTAGCTGCAAACTTGAATCCATTGAAATTGTTCGCGTTTTTCAATACGATTATGCAATATACTTTATATACTACTATATTTATATTTATTTACCAATAACTCACATCTTACAAGTACGGCGTATTTACATTCATATAATAATAACTCGTTGTGTACGTTGCAAGCATGGGGTATTTTATTCAATATAAAATATAATTATAAGTATGATCAACTGATACGATTACAAAATGTAATGTTGATGTGTTCAGCATTTATACATACATAACCAATAAAAACATAAACTGCGTCTGGTGCGTCTGTCGATTTTTAAAAATCAATTTCAAACTTACAGACTGCAATTTAAACTAGTCCTGGAAAGGCATATAATTGTCGAAATACAAGAGAGTGAACAAACATTTCTGAACTGATCATCTCGGCAAATTGAATTCAAATACACTGTACTTCTGACATCCGAGTTATTGGCAAATAAATGTACCTCGCCTGGAAGATTTAGAACACCGAAGATTTTTCGCAATAGACCTGACTGTATGAATTACGACATACAATTTGAAAAATGTTTTATTCATTCATATAAAATAAGATCTTTGTGACAATTACTGAAGAATAAAATTACTAATTATTTATTTACACCTTGCCCATGTCTACAAAATTACGTTTTTTATTTATTTAAATTACAATACTACGAAAATAAACACAATTGCAATTGTAAAGATAATAAATTGAGACAAATCATCGATTCGTGGGTTTCTATTGTAAAACATGGTTAGAAATCGACACATCTAAAGCCAAAGTTCAGTTCATCGTCTGCTATGTGAATTCACAGCTGCGATTGGATAATAACTTAACGCGTTAGTGAGATCCCAAACCCCGTTAAATTGCATAGTTTCATTTTTTCCATGGATTGTTTTCTGCATATCGACCCGATAATATTTTTGTTATTCCCATGTTTCACAAACTCACGAGTAACGTGTATTCACGTAATTTTGCCAACAAGATTTACCTTAGTCAGTTCAATAATTTCTGTGAAAAAACTTATACCACCAACACTTATTGTTATGAAATATTTGATATCCGCACATATAACAATAGGCGTAAATTTTACAATGAAATAAATATGTCATCTTAAGTTCATTTCGTATATTAACAGACCAACCTCCACTAATCTGGTTGAATACACTGACTTTTTATCTGCTGCTATTAACAAACAACAGGTGGATTCCATATATACTGATTTCAGTAAGACTTTCGACACTGTGTGCCATCCACTGCTACTCTACAAAGCCTTTAAACTTGGTATTTGTGGTAGTTTACATCATTGGTTATCATCTTATCTAAGTAATAAGCATAATAAGCAGCAGAGAGTAGTTTTGGGTGGTCACGTCTCTAAATGGTTCCCTGCATTGTCTGGTGTACCACAAGGGTCACTCCTGGGGCCTTTGTTATTTGTTATGTATATTAATGACATCACCCACCTTGATATCTCTGCCAATCTTAGTCTTTACGCTGACGATACCAAGCTTTATAGATCTATCACATCTCCAACTGACAGTCACACTTTGCAAACTGATTTCAATAAGTGTGTAGAGTGGTGCGACCTTATCACTCAATTTAGAGAAGTGTAAATTTATTACATTCACCCTTAAGAAAAAATCTATTTCAAGCTATAAATATTCATAAATCAAAGTTATACCCTTGCAGAAAGTTTCCCTCAATAAATACTTGGGTATTCATTTAACATCTAACCTGTCATACAATCATCATATCAATTCTATTGTTTCCAAGGCCTTAACAAATCTCTGGGTTTTATTAAACGTTATTGTTATAGCTTTAAAGATATTTCTGCAATTATTTCTTTGTATCTTGTTTATGTCAGATCTATTCTTAAATATGGCTCTATGGTGTGGTTCCCTCATTAAAAAATGCTTTTTTACAAAATTGAAAATGTGAAATTTAAATTTGTTTAATATTTATGTAGAAAGTTACGTGTGCATTGTAGTATTTCATGTTATCCTATTTATTGCAAACCTTTTAACATTCCTATTTTATCTAATATTCTTGATCTTCTCTTTTTATAATTGAATTGTTAATTCTTCTTATGACTGCCCTGCTATTCTTGCCAATATTGACTTTTATGTTCCAAATATGTGTTTGAGACGCAAACCATTTGTTAAACCTGACTGTGAATCAGTCAACTGGAGGAAGCATTCGTCACTTCTGAGGTGTATGACATTATTTAATGACATTTCATTAAAATGTAATATTGATATCCGGTTCTGTTAGTGGGTTTTCCCGTTAAACTGTGTAAATAAATAAATAAAATAAATAACAATAACAGTGATAAAAAAGGTTGTCATCTCTGTCTGCTTGATCTGATTGGGAGATATTTCAGTATGGCTTCAATAATGTTGGCAACTTTACTTGTACAGAGGCGGAGGGCACGAAATTTTCAATATGGGGGGGGGGGTCTGCTCACCAACTTTGCGCGACCTAACTAGGGGCATGCTTCCCCTTAAAGATTTTGAAATCTAGACCCTCTGAAACGCTATTTCCTGCATTTTGTTGTCACAAAGGGTTTCGGCTTGAATTTGGAGAGGCAACGCCCCTAAACATTTCTCGGACACCCCCCTCCTCATGTGCCGCCGCCACTAATTTCAAGTACTGAAGCTCGTTTATTTTACAGAAGAGAGACACGGGCCGAAACGTTCGCCTTGGCCGAAACATCCCGGGCTAAAACGTCCGTCCACTCTGAAAATGCAGTAATAATATCCACGCTACACGTAGTACAGGCTAAGATTTAAACTAATCTTATATGTCTGTATATCGGATAGACCCAATTACGAGAGGAATCAGGGGTAAAAACGAGCTAAGGAATTCCCAAACTTGTTAAGAATATAACAAATCTTCAGTCATTTTAACTATTATTACTCAGTACAGTAACGAGGTTCAACGGTGATAAAACAATACCAAAGCAAATTCAGTAGCACGGAGTCTCATGTCGGTTCATCTCTTGATGTGCTCACGTTGATTATCATGCTGGGAATGGCATACCGAAATGGATAGTTTTTAATGTAATAGTAAAACATCCAAATGAACATAGAATGCAATGGCGTTTTGGGTGCTTAGCGTATCTGGAGCAGATCTTAAAACGGATCAGATTTAATCTGGACTGCTGGGCGTTCACTCACGTTTTCTTAACACGGGCTAAGGTATCTGCCCCCCCCCCCCTAAGCCCGTGCTAAATAGCTGTGCGCGAACGCTAATATTGACTTGTTTAAAATAGGAATTTCCTGGTCGTCGACTAAATCACTTCCTGCTTCGCGGAAAGAATGACAAAAGAATCAGATTTGTTGGACCGACAGTCTCTAAACAGTAAATGCTAGTAACTTGCAAATATGTTATTACATTATCGGTTGTTCAAAAAATATATTACATTATTGGTTATGTTGTGTTACATTATCAGTTGCTTTTTTTGTTACAATACTTATTGGTTTCGAATTGTTACATTATCGGTTTTTATTACAATATCGATTAAATCGGTTATCGGTTAATGATATATTATCGGTAAATATTACATTATCGGGTCCAACAATTACTTTCTCCAAACTGTAACTTAATTGTCTGATTGGTCCGTGCAAATTGATTGAACTTTTGATATTATGACTCACTATTAATACATTCGTCAATATCTCAATATGTTGGAGGCGTTTCATTGTATTTTTTGAAGGATTTCTAATTCTTTCAAAGTCATCTTGTTTTCGTCCGGAAATGTCATTCACTCAAGTCGGTTTTGTTTACTGTTTCTATCCTCCGTAGCACATATAACTGAAGCTATTTTGTAAGCTGGCATGGAATGACGTTTCTACAATTTTAAACGGAATAATACAGAAGGTACTAATATCGACATTGATGCATAGATTGTATTTAACGATTGAATACGTGCTCGTTCAGTTGATTGAGATATGATTGATTGAGTTGAACAATTTAGGCGTTTGTCAAATGACGAGAGTGACAACATTTGTAATAATAATATATTGTAGGTCAATCGCCCTAGCGATTACAACACAACAGAGTCAAACGATCGCAGCAACATAATATGAAGAAAATACGTATGACTTTATCTTATTGTTAACAATATAAATGTTTGTTAGAAGTGTGCGCCGATATATATTATTGAAACTTTGTATTTACAACACCGAAACAAGGCTTGAGGGTTAAGAAATAAATTTTCTGCTTTTTATGTATTTGACTTAATCTAAACTTATTTTGTTTGCTTGTACTGGAATGTGTACAATACTGAAATAGAATTGACATAAATATGATAAATATTCAGAAAACAAATTTAATCAAGTTGCGCGAAGAATAATATATTGAACACAATTGCTAGTCGTCCTGGAGGCAATATTCTTCGACGTGCATTATCCTAGAGATTAGAGACTGGAATGAGTGAGTATTGAATATACCCATGTAACGTTAGTAGAATCAGAAGCAAAGACTATCCAAACCTCGGGCTATCCTGAAGCCTAGATATTAATTTACTCGACATATATACATGAAGACATGTTGCTTGTCAAATCCATACACTAATGTTCACTACACAGTTCATATATTCGTTATTATTCGTTATGTATTGATACACATTTCCTTTGTATTGACTATATAATCCTTCG